AAAATCGAGAACCTATTCTTGGCCTCGAGCTTTATTCCTTGCCGATAGCCGCAAAGCCAATAAGGCTACAGAACTATAATGCACCCCGCCCCCCTCCTCCCCGGAAGCTATGGGTAAACAAAAAAAAAAAAAAAAAAAAAACACTACATCCTTGAAAGCTAGAAACTGCTACCTTAGGGAAATGCAGGGCAGGAAAAGTTCCTTAGTCACGGAATAACACCTCGGCAAGGACTCTGTAAAGAAAGAAGAACAATATCGCAAGCTCCGCTGCGAAAGCGATGGACCCCGTCTTGTTAATTGGACCAGCACCACATCTATTATCGCCATCCGGATTGATAGAAGAGTCATTTCACCGCCAACCGCAAAGCCTGAAAATTAAATAATTGAGCCGTTCGCTGGGAAGCTGTAGTTCAAAATTTCCTTCCCTGGAAGGAAGGTGAAAAGGCAAGGCAAGAGTTCAATCATTTCCATTTGTAATAAATGCAGGAGTAAGAGCTGAGTTGTCCATCCTCTCAGGACAAGAAAATGACAAAAAAAAAAAAACCTCTGACCTTACTGGAGGAGGCAACTAGAACAACCTTGCGCACAGCCCAACCTACCCGCAGCAAACTATTTGTGAGTCCATGGTACTGCACATGTATGCTCAAGAATTTATATGGTTAATCAATTCTAAACTTTTCTCGGGCTTGACATTAGTCGTCTGTCCATGTATCATTGCTCAACCGTACTGCAGCGACCCCCGGCAAAGAACGATACCGGTACGAGTACAGTACTCAACCACGGTCGTGACACGGTCGCGTACCAAAAATAACAAAACACGCTCCCTCCCAACCCAATTTACAGTTACCGAACTCGGTGATTGATATCGGCACACGTAACCGTATTTTGCGGCAGTACTGTAAGCTTTCACGGAACCGATCCGGTCATAGCTCTTGCAGCGAATTCGCACAAGAAAGGGTTGCGGCAATATGCGGCTACAAAGTGCAATATCTGAGCAAGCTTTAATTCAGCTATGGTCGATTCAGCCGTGGTATGATGCGAGTGCTGTGTGGTCCAGCACCTGTACAGTACCCGTTCTTGTCCCAAGCAAGGACTTCCAGGAAACAGGGGGGTACAGTCCCCGAATACTCGCATATATTTGATAAGCGCCGCGACCGGCTCTGATTTGATATTATTATTTTTACCATGCTCGAGTACAGCTACGATACCGGCATTGTACGAGTACTCGTACTTCTTTAATTCCTATTTTCGGCTACTACTCGCCTGAGACGGCCCCGCGTTTTACCCGCGTTTTCAAATCGCTCTCCCTGGAGATTCTGTACTGTACTGTACTGTAATAGACTCTACTAGTACTTTACTCGTACCGACCAGCCACCACTCGAGTACCTATACTCGAGTCTTCACCCTTCGACTAGTATCGTACTTTGCTTCCGTTTTTTTCACGGAAATCTATTTAGAACGAGTGCCCCCCCCCCAAGCGCACTTCGGTGTTGGCACAGTCCTCGAGCAGTCAGGTACTTTGGGGGTTGGGAAAAAGTATGGCAAAGCACTTGGCCGCCAAACACAATAAATATCCTATGGGCTACATTCGCCAATCTTTTTCCTACCCCCAGAGTAAAATTACCTAAGGTAACAAAATCCTGCGACTAACAACTACCGGTACCGGTGCGGATAATACGAGTACTTGTACGCTTACTCGGACCACCAAGACGAGAAGAGAAGTGGGAAGAAGAAAAGGAAAAAAAAAATTTCTTTAACCCCCTCTCGATCTGAGGAGTGAGAATTTCTGCGTCCATGATTTGCGGGATTAACCTTTCGTCCTTGCGCACGCCACTGCAGTCAGCAGGCCGATTGTTATGCCATGTGGCACATCTAGAATCCAAAGGACGTTATCCAATGACTACCAGTACCGCCTAAACCATGGGAGTTACAGTCGCGAAATCGCGCAATCGCCCAATACAAATATCGGTACCAATTTTGCTGCGGCTGCCAGATTTCTGGCAGGGGCAGAGACCATTGTCTCACTGGCGAACGGTAAAATTGCTTGGTGTGTGTCTTGAAAAAAAGGTACCGGTACCGGTAGTTTCTAACCCCCCATCGGGAAATGAAAGAGATGACCTTGGACTCCCTGGAGCTTGGTTTTTCCTTTAGCCAAAGTTCTCTAACCGGAATTGTCACCAAATTAGACGCGAGGGGTAAAATGTGTCTTGGGTGACACAGGGGGTCCAGCATCCCCCTCCGGTCCCGCGCGCAATATGAGCGAAACCCATCGATTTCACGGTTATTCATTCTCATCATCTTCTCGCTCCTTTACTTTTTTTTTTCCCTTGCCTTCTCTTCCAATTGTCTAGTTATCGTCTCTCTCTTAAGCGAATCATTGCCTTATTTGACCCAACTTTGCTCCTATTTGCCCACGCTAGCCCTATCAGAAACCTTTCTTTGTGTATGATACCAGTGATGGTGGTAACATTTGACATTTGACATCCCCCTCCTGTCAGTCCCGTTTATAGACCTGGATAACTGCATCGGCCAACGCACTTAGCCTGGCCCGCTGTAGGCACCCTGTTCCATATTCGTTTTCTGTTCTAAACCGGTACCTCGCGGCTTGCGTGATTGACCAGGCTCGACACGCCAATTCTAGCCAGACCAATCCGAGACAACTCTCATTTCAAAAAATTTCGCCCATTGTCGTTCCTTGAGCTTAAGAAGTCCCCTGCCCCCCCCCCCCCCCTCCCAAAATTTCTGCTCGCTTCCGTCTTCGTTCGCTTCCGCATCTTCACGTTTTCCTTCTTTCCTAATCCTATACCACCATCTTTGTATCGTGGCCCAACACTCCTTCAGTTTGTTCACCCACACACACTCGTCTCCCCACCCGCTCTTCGGAAGTTTCAATCGTTTCGCCCTCATCCCCAAGCCAAGGGAAGCCCTGCGTACTGAGTACCGCCGCCGTCATCGCATCTTCGTTCATCGACGCGCGCAAATCTCTCACCTGGAGTTTGTCGCTGCTCAACACTTTCTCTGTTAAACTCCAGCAAACGTTCCTTCGAGAAAACCCACTCCGTTCCGGAATCCCCATTCTCAATGTTTTTCCAACGCTTCGTCGCTCTCCTCCTCATGATTCTCATGCCTCTACTTGCGCTTGCAGACACCACCGGCACCGCCTCCACCACTACCGTTCGCAGCACCGTATACTCTACCGTGGTTACTTACGTTACCAGGACTGGCAGCCCTCCACCGGGGTCAACGTAAGTCTTTCTTTTTCTCCTTTGTTCTTCTGATATCCACTTGTATTTTGATCCATCATCTATTAACGATTAGCAGGGGAACGAGCGGTATCACCGTCACCAATAGCACTATCACCTCGGTCAACCCATCGGCGAAGCCGACCGCCTCCCAACCAGCTTTTACTGGCGCCGCTCCCGGTACTCTCGGGTTCTCCTCTGGTCTCGCCGGCGCTGCGATCGTCGTAGCTCTCGTCGGTCTCTTGTAGCCTTTTTTCTCCTCAGGAGGGGGAAAGAAACCAAAACTTCAACCTCATTCTTTACGATTACGACTATGCTTGTTGCTTCTTCTTTTTTTTGTTTCCGGCGGAGCGAGAGACGAACGACAGGGGAAGATGCGATGTGGGAAGAATGTGTCTTCAAGTTCCAAACGAATGACATGTCAACACAATTCCTTTCTCATCTGTATCATTTTAAACTTCTGTTCATCTATTGTTATTATTTTTCATAGATTGTCGCATAGGGAGGGGGCACTTACGTTCGAGCATATCCTTCATATATTTATTTTTAGTTCGCTTCTTAGGCTAGAACTTCGCACTGGCTTGCCGGATATTATTGCGCTGGTTTTTCCTTTCAGACCATTTCCTCCCGCTAAGATGCTGCGTGTCTTCTCATCATCCTACTCCCATTCATTATCGTCAGTTCTTCACCTCGGGCAGGAATGTTTGGAAAGCCAGTTTATATACCCCCTTCTTCATCCAAAGAAGTCTGTGGCTTCCTTTTTTTCCCTTTTCTTTTTGCTGTTTTTATAAGGAGTCGGGATGGTATCTTGTTTGGGGAGTACCGGTACTGCAGGGATGGGGGTGGGGATGTGTTATAATACCTATGACAAATCGCATTCACAGATACAAGTACTGTACTGTATATATATATATATATATATATGATCTGCGCCATGAGAGGCCAAGTGAGTCCAGTATCCGTCCTCACAACTCCTCATCCTTTCTTTGTAGCAAACAATCAAACTCCCCTCAACATTATCTCCCTTATTAAAACCATGTGGATTGCGTGATATGATGTATGGGCAGGACAGATGGGCTGTGGTCGGAATAACCTCAACCACGTTAGCGGGCCCTACGATAACATATTAGATCTCACAAGTTAGCCGCAGCTTGCGACCAAAACTTGCGTATCACAATGTACCCCGCATTCCTCCGCCTTCCATCCCCCCTTGCTCTTGAGATGGTTGGAAGAATGAAGGCATTGGAGGCAAAAGTGAAAGGAGGAGAGGAGGGAAGTTTGGAAGAGGCAAGGTCAGTCAGTCTGTTGATGTCTTCATCACCTAGAGATCGAAAGCGGTCTAGATCACGAGTATGATACTTGTACGACACAGGTACCGGTAATGGGAGTCTGTGGCTGGGTGGGTTGCCTCTCTGTGACCTGTGGGGTAGGTTATGATAACTTTACCAGCTCTAATACGGTAACTTACAATAATCATCGGGGATCGAGCGTAAAAATAAGCGATCAACCGTGATACAGCATGTTTTCTCGTCAATGCTGTGACGCGGTAGGCGTAGCAATGTAATCAAACGAGGGGGAACAAAGGAAGAAAAAGAAAAGAAACCCCCCGAGAAGGAAATCTTTGATAAAGCAGAATCCTCTACAAGTAGCCTGGAATCACAAACAAATAAAAAAAATAGCCGAAACCAATCACACCGATCATCCCTCGACAAACGGTCATTCTTACATCTGACCCGACTTCAGATTCAGACGGGCAGACTAACTAAGAGGGCTCCAGCCCATAGGCACCAAGATTCGGCTTTCCATTTTTTTGATGAGAGGTACAGTCTTGTGCACCGTGTCGCTCCATCCTTTTTCGCCCCAACTCTGCTCTCGAGCAACTTGTCTCTCCCGCAGATCGGCAAACTGCCACAAATGATGGACCGTATTCAAAGATCCTATCTGACAGAACCAGGCCCCAACACCTTCCATGACGTTTTTACGAGCCCGAAGACCACGGCGCCAGTGTGTTTCCCATTCTAACAGATGGCCGGGGAGAACGGTGTATGTCCGAAGCTCGAATATTCCCCCAAGGGAACGTGGCGGGCAAGTAGGCCAAAAGGAGAACTCCTGCATGAGATCTGTACGGCGGGAGCGAATGATCTTTGCGAGCGAGGACTGGAATTTTGCGAATGTGGGAGTGGTAGCGAGTCTTGAGAACGTTTTGTGGTACCCAGCATCTACACCAAGATGTCAGAATCGTGATTTCAAGTCCGATATAGCGACCGGAGTCTTTGGGGGAGGCTTACATCCTTGGTACTCCCAGATATGAACTGTCGGCCTCCAGGTTAGAAGATATCCTTACCAAAGAACAAGAGCTAGTCCTACCAAAAGTGTCACATTCCCCAACTTCCGTCTTCCAGCTCCCAACAAGATGACAGTTATTCCCTGCATCGGTCGCGATTGCTGGGTATACCTCCCCAACGAGCTTCACATAGTCCTCGACCTTGTCCGGTTTCACGTGATGGAACTCAATGGCGTGCACGTACTTCCCCCTTGCCATGACTTTCGAGTAGCTCTGCTCCATCTCGGCCTCCTCTTTCTGTCCCTCCTTCGAGCCGTATAGTATGCTCTTCACAATTCCCGTCCTCTCAGCATTTTCGGGGGAAGAGACTTTGGGCTTTGCATTTTTGGCATCGGACAGTTGTTTGTGAAAAGTGGACACCCTGGTTTTGAAATCGGTTGTTGACGAATCACTGTGTATTACATCACCGATACAAGGAACTTTGTGAACGTTTGGTAGGATGGCGGATGCGGAGAATTGTCTCAAGGAGGAGGGGAAATGGCGGGGGAGGCGGCGGGATAACATAGTGTGCCTTTCAATGAGCCGGTGGGAAGAAAAGGAGGGGTGATGCGGGAAGAGAGAGCAATTTGGCGGATCTCGTTCCTGAGCCTCTCGTCTTGGAAGCCTCCCATTGCTTTTTGCGGGGAACCTTGGCGTTCAGCCGCAGGTTTCCCAAGATGCCTGGATGGCAGATGGCACCATCATGCGGTTGGCATGGTTGTCACGGAGATAGTGTAGCCTAAGGATTCTTTTCTCTCGCCTTTGTAATCTACACCATGATATTCCCACGGAAGGAATTCACATTATGATATGGGTACAATGCCGGTGATCTCAGTTTATCATATTTTCACCTTCATCTAACCTCACCACCCACTTTTCCACGGCCGATTCATTTTGTCCCACCTACCCAAGTTATGGTATGGTAGTTATGATACCCAAATCCCCCAAGTTCGCGATAGCGGTTTACCGTCAGCTCAGAAAAAAACACAAGTTCTGATGGTCTCGACTTGCGTCGCACCGTATTGTGCGAGTAACATGGCGGAATGCCAGCCCAGAAGTACCCAATTCACACCAACTTGAGCGAAAAAGTGAAGCGAGGAGGAGTATAGAGACTCCCGTTGTGAATGGTACTCGATATCCCACTATAGAAGTAGCATACCCGGGAATGCGATACTGACTTCGGTGAGTGGGAATTTCTATACACTGCTCGAGTACGGTGGATTCATAGTAATGCGCTCGTAAATCAAACAATTGCATCCAAGTTATACTGGAGAATACCTTAGGACAGATCGAGCGAGTGATAGATATGTGGAGTGCATCGCAAGACGACAGAAAACGAATCGATATACGACAAACTCAGTGAGACCAAATAGTCGTTTTTGCAGTTTCGCATGGTAAGCTTAAATAAAGTTGAGAGAATAATTGGTTGTACAAATAATAACTACACGAAAGGGAGGAAGAGAACTTTTTTATTCCAAGCATTCCTCCCCGTCCCGAGTGGGTAAGCTAGTAAGTCTAATCAGAGTGAGAGCCACTCTCCCCATTTGCCCTCTTTCCCTCCAAAGCACCGTCACCCTTCTCCTTCATAGCACCATCCGTCTTCTCTAGCCGAGCACTCTCTTCCCCCCCGATGTCGCCCACCTCCACCTTACCACCACTATCCGGCGAAGACCCCCTAACCAGGCCTTTCCTACGCAGCTGTCTGAACCCGGGCCGCAGGTTCGAGGGGTACTTCTCGAGCGCCACTCCATCCTTGATCTTTTGCTCGTTTTCCATGGCCCAGTCGACGGCAGCGAGGACGTCGTCTACTATGGCTATGGGTGATTTGGCATGATAGGGCTCGCGCCAGACGCCAGATCGCACGAGGATGCTCCACCAGACTGTGCCATTGATCCTGGCTCGGTTGGCGCCTCGGATGTCACTGTCCGGGCTGTCACCGATCATGTAGACTCGCTCGAGGACTCTGGCTTTCCTATCTCGTCTTATGAGTGGCCGATTGGCGGCGTCTGGTGTAGCTGTAGCTCCGGCTTCTGTTCTTGGACTGGATTCTTCTTCGGGGGTGGCCTCAGGGATAGTGTTTTCTGCGGGAGGGGGGGGAATAACATCTTCGGCAGCGGCGGTATCTGCGGAATTGTCTGCAGGAGCGGGAGAGCGTTCAATCGCTTCTGCTACCTCATGTGTCGCCTCTTCGTCGAACACGAATTCCGGGGATGTCGCTTTGAGCTTCGCGACGAGATTTTGTTCCAGCAAACGCTGTGCATACCTAAAGGCGGGCGTAGTCGGTTTCCCAAGACTCCGGAGGTGCGCTCCCCCGGTTGCTCCTGGAATGCGGGGGAAAATCGAGAGAACCGCCTCTTTGAACGCACCCTGCCCAAGCCTGGGCATATGATACGTACTGGCCCAGACGATGTCGCTATTCGTGAAGAACGTCGGCACCGGCTTCATATGTCCCGGCTCCGCGAGTGTGCCGTACACACCGTTATCAGAGCGCAGAAAATCGATTATAACCTGTGTGCTCAGCGCCCAGTCCCGAGGGTCATTGAACACGAAAATAGCATCGATTTTCGTCCCCTTCGGGACATTTCGCGCGTAGGCCGGAGGCGGCGAGGTGCTAAAGGGGGATATGTGCGGGTCTGTGGCGTAGAAGTCGTCAGGGATGAAGACGTTCTTGAAGCCGTACTCCTCCGCTATCTTACGGCAATTCTCGCCTTCCCCGCCGACAACGAGAATTGTTTCGTAGAATTTTGTATAGTTCTTTGCCGGAGTGTGCGATTGGACGAGTTGGGATGGGGCGATCGGGAAATCCAGCCTTGAAGAGAGGTCCTCGCATCTGGCTACTTCCGAGATGCCACCCCCGTTGGTCAGGAGGATGAAGGGAATGTCATTCTCTTGCAATTTCGTGAGCGCCGTTTTAGCCGAGGGATGAGGGTCTAGTCCACGGAGGAGAACACCGTCTATGCTTCAGATATCGTTAGAACAATTGTTTCTTTTTTTGCCCGCCTAGAAGGGGGCGATGGATGGTGGATAAGGAAAGGGAGAAGCTTACTCAAAAGCAATACCGAATCGGCCGGGTGTAAAAACTTTTGGGGGGCGGCTGGTTACGAGTGTGCGGGCGAGGGGGATGCAGCGGGTGGGCATACGCTTGGATAAGAGGAGGAAACTCATGCTGATGAGATTAATTGGCTGTGGATGGATGATGTTTCTTTTGCGTGTTTTGTGTAAATTTTAAATTTTAGGATTTCCTTTTAAAGGAGGTTGGTTCAACGGTTTTTCCCCGCGCGCGAGGGAGTCTTGGCAGCACGAGTGGGGTGTTGCACAAGGGTTCAGGGCCAGATTGTTGCTCGACATATCACTCGATATCACTCCCAACTGGGTCTGGATACTACTAGGAGAATACTCGTACGAGAAATGGATCATCCAAGCGAGTTTTGACATTGGTGACGCTGTAGATTGGACACCGGCAGTCAACAGTACTCGGAGAGGTTTTCTCAACCTTGCAAGAGGGGGGAAAGTTATTACGGTACTGTATTGCCGCCGAGATCCTCCCATATATGACACCAGTCGTGGAGGACGTGTGAACCCGACCCTCTTGTTCACTTTTTCGTGGATTTAAACGGGTACTACGTGTCAAGGGAGACATCGAGCGCAAAAAAAACTTAGGGGAGGGAAGGCTAGTGGGCGGCAACATCACGAAAGCAATCGGGACATTTAGCGCCAAGACAGGCACCCATAATGCCGAGTGTCCAATACCGTCTAATGATATATACCCCAGACGGACAGGTTCCTGTCAACCACTCAACTAGGGGGTTTCACACCAGTCGTTCAGGTCCGGGATGCACACTGCGGTTCTAGAATTGCAGTAGGGGGTCTCCCACCCGCGGTTCAGGTCCCGTATGAGTACTGTGTTTCTAACTGGTTCACCGCAGTATGGTGTGCGACCTCATAGTTGAGGTTAACGGTTTACCACTTATTTGAATATTTTACATCCAAGAACTAATTCTTCTGTCAGCTTTACAAAGGAATACACTACCATATTGGTGCCTTTATTTGTTGTCTTGGCGAACCCTTTTTATGCTAATAGGATTTTAGCACTAGTGGCTGGTGGCTATTCCTCTTTTTGTCCAAGTTAGCATTCTGCCGCCACCCTCTGAACCACTGAATCATCCCGGGTACCGCCTCCATTGCCGGTACTACTATAGTACCATGGGTCAATTTTTTTTCAGTTCATGGTTTATGAACTGCAAACCGGCTCTTTGAACCATGGTGAACCACTGGTGTGAAACCCCCTACTGAGACTTCGCGATAAATCAGGTATTAAGAGAACTCCGCGAATGTGAATTTAAAAATACAAGGGAAACGGTCAGTATTCTACAGTAGTGGAACACCACGGTTGGATTAAAGCAGATGCTCAGAACCCGGATTAGGTGAGTCCGGTAATATGGCAAAAAACATATTGTATAGTATGTTATTATGGGGGTGTATGCCGGTATTGCATTAGGTTAGTGTTTACTCTCATCGGTTACTCGGTCATGATATTGGAGAAACATGAGTAATTGTGGATCAAAAACGGGAGTTTTGAATAGTTGAAGTAATTATTGACTCAGAATTTTACGTGATTAAGGAAATTGTAGGTATCACCGTAGTCTACCAGTGTAGATAGAAAGTTATGGAATGCAGTCGCACCTCGCTTTCCCGGATGGCCAAAATTTGGCTAATATCCAAGGATTTGTCCGGGACAGCGGATTGTCCGGGGACAACAAGTTGGGTTTTGGTGCAAGATATTTTTGAAATTAGAGAATTTCATCCGGGAGAGCGGGGGATCCGGGAGAGTGAGGTCCGGGACAACGGGGTGCGACTGTAAAGTATCATACTTATTTTGCCCATTCTGCAGCCGAGAGCTAATTCTTTAGCCACTACAGTATTAGCGCCTTTTTTAACACTAATAACAATTTCCCCACTAGTGGCCGGTCACTAAGCCTTTTACTGTCCAAGTCAACGGTATAACCACCGTCTGAACTGCTAAACCTTCTTGAATATGATACCACTTGTGTAGACTCCAGAGCCGGTGCCAGTACTGTACCGTGGTTCATTTTTCCAGTTCACGGTTCATGATCTGAGAACCCGCTCTTTGAGCCGCGGTGAACCAGCGGTGTGAAAAGCCCTATCATACTGTATCCATCCAATGCCGGTGCGGGGAAAAATGGGAAATCGAGTGACTATAAATGAAGTTCTAACTCTACCACGAGAATGCTTGCGAGCCAATATTTGGAGAAAAAAGTCTGGACCCGACCCCTACTTATATGTCAGTAAGGGGGTTCAGTACTCTGATATACTCGTTAGCATGAGCTACCTAGAGGGGCGGTTCAAGACCTCGCTTGGTCAGCGGGATCTTTGATACGGGCAAAATAAATTTATTTGTCAAGTCTTGCGGAGGGTGTCGTCTCGCCAAGCCCTGAGAGAGTCTACGAGTACTCGAGTGCTTGAGTGCTCGTACTGAACATCAGTGCTCGACTACCGTACCGCTTAGTCATATAGGTAGGAACATGGCTAATTGAACAAGATTACTTGGCAGTAGGGTATCATAATTGGACACCTTGGGACTTTTAGTGCCTACCTTGGTGCTAAACGTCAGAACTGTTTTCCTTGACTTGGTTACCACCTGGCTTTTGTGAATTCCTGTGGTGTTGCGGGCATTTAATCGCTTATCTTCCTTTTGCACTCTGTCAACTTGACCCGTAACACGTAACAGCAGTGGCTCGGTGATACTTGTCCCAAGCCCTTTCCTCGAGTACCGGTAGTACCCGAAAACAGGGATTAAAGAAATATATGGAAAAACATTAGTGCATGTCTGAGTGCCCATACAAAATTTACCCCCCCTGTTTTCAGGTACCAATGGCCTGGGACAATTACAAAGTATATCTCGGGCATTTCATACCTCGGCAGAAATCTTGGCAGATATCATAGATAATCACTCGATTTGCCAATATTGGCAATTTCTTGGCGGTTTACCTCGTTTTCCTCCCGGGCAAAACACTTCACCAAGTTAATTTCCATCTGCCGTCTGCAATCCAGTTGATAAAAAATAAATGTACAGCCCCGCCCTCTTCCACTTACTCATTATTTCGATAATCTTTCTTTATCACATTAGTCTGGTGTTGTTGCCGTGCGTGTTTTCTTTTCCCCTTTTGTCGCGACCTTGCCTGTCTGTTTCACGCGTTCGGCACTGCATGATCGTTACTCACTCCCCCACAAATCCATAATGCTCTAGCGCCGGATCTTCCATCATAAGTACCACAGGGACCATGTGTGTCTCTACCGGTAGACTAGCCCTCACCCGTCCCTTGTGCTCGGGTGGATGATTGCGGAAAGCGGATAAATAAATTATATTGAAGGAAAGCGGCAGCCGTAACAAATACAGGATAGTTGATTCTGTTGGAAGATTGTCCCTGAGTTTCGATTTCACATGTTCTATTGGTTTCCTATGAGATCTTCACGAACTTTCCTTTATACCTTACTTGATGTCTGAAACTGTTATCACCCTGTTGTCTCCGTACTGTTTTCTCTCTATCTCCTTGCAGTGAAAATTTCTCTCTTGTTTCTTTCCTGTTTCTTTCCTGTTTCAGTGGGACAAGACTTTTGTCCCCCTTACCGGAGATGAAAATTTTCATCCACACAGGCACCGAATCGGATGTGGATCATCTTGTGTTAAAAGGGCCTTATTATCTACTTAGAAATGATATGCGAATTCAGACTTTCCAATTGTGTGCCTAAGAAAACTCTTGTTGAATTTTATCCATCATTCCTACCTATACTTTTGTCTTTTCTCATCACCGATCGATTTATTTTACTTCAGATTCCCGCCTCGCAATCACTCCTACCCCACCTAAATCTATTCTTAGTCAATTCGGAGTCTAGGTTATCATGGCAATTGAGTGCTGATTGCTGCAGACCGTATAGACCTCTCGGAATATGGACATAAACTGGTCCTCGCTGGCTCGTATTTGTGGCTGATTCTGGTTCACCTTTTTTTAGTAAACACTAGGATGCCTAGAGGTAGTTGCAGGTCAATCTCTTCCTTGATTTCACTTTGCGGAAATGCCATAACGATATTCGTTGCTGGAAGACCGCGCATTCAACCGGAGATCGGAAGGTGTCTTTCTGGTAGATCCTTGGGCTCCAATAGAACCGATGTTATCAGATATCTTTATACAAGGCTGGCCGGGGATGCGACTCCGGACACGATGGATGGTGAGCAGGGGGCGGTTGTCCTGCGCGGAATTCCGGAAGATATCTCCGAAGGAAATATATCTAAGAGCAACGGCGATGGGGATCCTGTCACAAGCTATGTGCTGACCAATCTATATCTAGGTTCCTGCTGGTCTTACTGTGTATCAATGCGATCCTGCATGAAGCCACGATCCATCGTAGGCGACAAAAGCTGAGCGCAATGACCAATTGCTTCGGATCGACGAGAGTTTATTTTGTAACGCGGGATCGGATTAAGGGACAGGGGAGGGATAAAGCGAGGATTGCCATGGCCGGTCTGATGTGAATCTCATGCGGAGCAACGCGCGAAGGCCCACCGCATTGTGTGTTGCCCTAGTCGTCGAAATTGAGTCACCGAATCTGAATGCAGACAACGTTCCTTCGGGAAGGACATTGCGAACCTGTTGTCAGGGACATATTACCGTGGGCGAGGAGTTTTCCACTGTCCGATTAATCCACTTTTACCCTTTGAGAATATCTCCAGGCCCATCCAAAGCTTTTTGGTACAGCTCATGCGAAAATGGCAGAGATCTACTTGAGTCATCTGGATTGTCAGCAGGTTAGAGCTCTTTCGGCCAATCCCCCCCGCGGCCTCCAAGGCACATCCTTCCTCGAATCCTCTTCTCTTCTTTGTATTGGGGATTATATGCAAATAGGGATCATTTGGATTTCCCAAAATTTCTTGTCCTGAAGTTATTTGACGATTATCGTAACCGCATATCCACTAGAATCTTGTTGAATGTATAGAGACCGTATTTTTGCACTGTCCATACGTCTCCAGGGGGTGCGCGGGGGGGGGTCTTTCCATGTACCTGGGATATCGGTCTTTGAATCCGGTACAGCATTTCACAGAATTGTAAAAAAAAATGATGCAGTGACCCTAAATTCCGGCTTCGGTGTGGTAATAACAGGGAAGAAAGCGGGTGATGGTGAA